CACACACACACACACACACACACACACACACACACACAATTCTTTAATGAAAGTGCAAGACCTAGTATTACTATTACATTTCCACAATTAAAATGTTATAAGTGTGAGACAAATTAATTTAGATTTTTTTTATTACTAGTATTTCAAGTTGTAATTTGCTCTTGCCTTTCTCTCTACATGTCTTTTGCTCTGCTGTTCCGTCTCCAGCTTGTCATCAAACTCCTGCTGAAGTTTCTTTTTGGCAAAGTCCATTTCACGAACGGCTCGATTGTATTTTATCCGCCACTCTCCTCCTAGAGGAAAGACATGCAATTCAGAAAATGTCTGTGTGACATTTGAGCATTTCCTGACTTTAATGCAGGTCCAGCCAGGTACACAGAGGAAGAGGCGTAAAAACCACAGACATGATGGATGCGTGGGATTATGGAGTGCACTGCACTGGCTGCGATGATTATCACATTCAAAGACTGAAATAAAATAATCTTTCTGGAAATAAAACTTTTGCTTAATCAGATGCTGAACTTACAAGGTCAAGGTATTCAACAGGAAACTACAAAGAAGGCTTTGTGTTTTAGCTCTTATCTTGAATAAACCTGAGATAGGAATTCAGAGCACACCACAACAGTAGTTAGAGGAGGACATGTCTAAGTGGCACTTTCCACAGTTCTTAGGCAACCTTAATTCTGGAGCTGTCATAGGCTATCAGAACTATAACAGCAGCCAGACAGACATTTGGGTTCAGGTTCATTTCCAAGCCTTATCATTTTAGAGGCTGTCCACTTCTCCTTCACATACCAACACAGGCTCCTCCATCAGTGCTGCTCATTAGCATATATATAGCATAATGACAACTTGCAGGGCCACCAGCTCTGATCCCACCGATTACTTTCTCATTCATCTAAGAATTCTGATATGCTCTGTAATGGCTTGTCTGCTGAGGTGGGTTGAAGGAGGTGGGAACACAGATATCCAAAAAAAAAAAGACCCATGGACAATATGCTCTCAGCAGGCGCTCTCTTTCCCAGCAGGGGGAGACCAATCAGAAACAAGCATTAGTTGTATGCCTGGGAGCGGACATCCTAATCTCCTAGCGGTTAATCCTAAACTTGGAAAATATACTTAACAGTATTATGCAGGATGTGACCAAGTCTTACTGCCATGTCTCCTGCTGAAACAGCTGAACAAAGCCATTCATTCCTGCAGCTACAATTAGTATAAGGGAGATTTTTCAAACTGTGCACATAATGCTGGTCTGAGTGGTTCAGTAAATTATGCTTCTGACCTGAGCTGACATGCCCATTAGGCAGGCTTAGGCAAGCTGCTGAAAGTGTCGCAGGGTGCAATTAATTAGGGAATTTAAAACAAATGCTTAAAAAACACTGATGACCGAGACTATGTTATTCAAAAAAACAGAGAAAAGTTTCTCTGAATTATCTTCAAATTCGATCTTGCATGTAGCAATCTCTGGTGTCACGACCAAATGTTAGATATCAGTGTCTTGCTCTACTAACCAGCATCTTCATCATCATTGTCCATCTCCCCATTTAGCTCTGATGTTTTCATGAGTCGTGCTTCCATCACCTCCATCTCCTGCGATTCTAACTGTTTCTTCATGGCATCAAACTTTGCCTGGAATGCACAAATTCAGTCAATAATCACGCAGAGCATGTCAGTCATAATAAACTGAACTTCAGAATTACTATAAATTTTAAGTGTGCATCTTTCATATATATATTTCATGTTTATTTGCCTGTAGATCCTTCATATCTTTCTCCAAGCGCAGTCTCTCAGAAGTCTCAGCCTCCAGCAATTGGGATGCTGACTCACTTGTGCTTCTCTCATCAGCGAGCTCTGCCAGCAAGTCTGCGATCTGATCACAAACAAGCAGACGCACACGGGGTGTTATGCAAAGTTGCAAACTACTGGCCACAGTTCCTGTGCAAGTAGGTAATCAAATCTTTAACTAAAATAAAGAGTGCAACTGCACCATAAATCTCCAAAAACTATCCAGAATGCACTACCATAGGCAGGGGGACCCACCCTGCTCTCCAATCGATCTGTATTGAGTCTCAGCTCATTTCGTTCCTTCTCCACTCTCTCAAGCTTCAATTTCTGCTGCTGAATCTCCTCCTGGAATACAGAATATAGCTGTTTTATATCAGATACATGTTATGTTATGTTGGAGGTCAATGTCAACAGTGATGACAGTATGTAGAATAGTGCAGACACGGAATGCATTTAAAAATATATTAAATCCTTAAAGATTCAACAGGTTGTGTGAGGTTTGCTCACATCTTTGCTCCGCATCTGGTCCTCTGTGAGCTGCACTTTAATGAGGGGCTGCACTGTGGTAAAGAGCCTCCACCATGGCCAGTCCTTCACTCCACGGTTCTTCTTGATGTTTTTTTGAATACAACGGATGGCTAAATCCTGAATCTAAACACACATATGGAGAGTCAGTCACCAAAGAGAAATCTGTGAGAGTGCAGGCAGTTATTTGCACAACAAAATACAAACTCATATTGAATGTCAATGGCATAAAAGTGATGTAATTACTTCCAAATATATCTGTAAAAGATCCCCTATTATGACCTTACAACCAGCAACAATGCATATAATATGCAGCACCAATAGCTTGAATGCAGACAAATTGTTTGCACAGGTACCACATGGAGGCAGTATCCAGACTAAATGCTGCTTTTATATAATCACTGGAATAAATACTTTCCAAACTCTACCATTACCATATCATCCGCACCATTGATGAACAATATTTGAAAATAACTACATTCTTCTGCTATATTGCATATGTATGGGCAAGCATATCCCGGGACTTGCCAACCTCCACTAGAGAGTTTCCGCCGAGTGTGTTCCAAGGCTGGAAGCTAATTTTTGATTAATTAAATCAAACATTTTGGCAGCTAATTCCAAGTATTACACGATTTCCATGCTGCTTATGCATGAGGCTCTCTAGCAGCAGCAGATTATGGGCAAACCCAATTAGAGCAACACAATTCTCAGCATCAGGTACATTTTGCCCTGAAGGTACTCTCTATGACCAATTAGGATTTGTCACACAGTGAAAGCCTTAACATGGAGCAAAATGCTGCAAATCTCTGACAGAAGAATTAAACAGGTCTCACTTGTCATATCTAGTCTATAATGAATAGGAAACAAACAAAAGATTATACAACATGAGCACTGTGGATAAATATTTTGGTATTCATATCACATTAACAAGGTGTGACAACTGTAAGACAGTGTGAAGTGAATGAAAATTTTGAACCAAGGTTAATAAACAAAAAGAAAAAAAAACACTACATTCTTTTCCAAATATTCTATACATGTATTTCGGGTTTGATTGTCTGTATACATGTAAGACTTACTGTATATGTATTAGATATTAGATACCTGCAGCAAAGTCTGAGCATAAAGTTGTCATTTAGTAAATAAATGAAGCAACAGGGCTCCGCCAGGGCTGCCCTTTGTCTCCGGTTCTGTTCATAATTTTTATGGACAGGATTTCTAGGCGCAGCCAAGTGGCAGAGGGCTTTCGCTTTGGTGGCCTCAGAATCTCATCTCTGATTTTTGTAGATGATGTGGTTCTGTTGGCTTCATCGGGTGAGGGCCTCCAGCTCGCACTGGAACGGTTCGCAGCCGAGTGTGAAGCAGCGGGAATGAGGATCAGCACCTCCAAATCTGAGGCCATGGTTCTCAGCCGGAAAAGGGTGGAGTGCCCACTCCGGGTCGGGGATGAGTTCCTGCCCCAAGTGGAGGAGTTCAAGTATCTCGGGGTCTTGTTCGCGAGTGATGGGAGAAGGGAGCCGGAGATCGACAGACGGATTGGGGCTGCAGCTGCAGTGATGCAGACGCTGCACCGGTCCGTCGTGGTGAAGAGGGAGCTGAGTGTAAAAGCGAAGCTCTCAATTTACCGGTCGATCTACGTCCCTACCCTCACCTATGGCCACGAGCTGTGGGTAGTGACCGAAAGAACGAGATCGCGGATACAAGCGGCAGAAATGAGCTTCCTCCGAAGGGTGGCTGACCTCTCCCTTAGAGATAGGGTGAGAAGTTCGGCCATCCGGGAGGGGCTCAGAGTAGAGCAGCTGCTGCTCCACATCGAAAGGAGCCAGCTGAGGTGGTTCGGGCATCTGACAAGGATGCCCCCCCCTGCCCCCCACCGGGAGGAGGCCCCGGGGCAGACCCAGGACACGCTGGAGCGATTATATCTCTTGGCTGGCCTGGGAACGCCTTGGTATTCCCCCAGATAAGCTGGAGGAGGTGGCTGGGGAGAGGGAGGTCTGGGCCTCTTTGCTTAGGCTGCCGCCCCCGCGACCCGGCCCCGGATAAAGTGGATGAAGATGGATGGATGGATGGATGGATGGATGGATGGATGGAATGAAGCAACATCGGTTTCTGAGGATTGCTTCATTATAAACAAACATAAGCTATAAGCTTTATCATTCTGGCTCTTTCTACACTTTGTACATTATTCATTTTTAACCCTAAGCTAAACCAAAGACATATCTTATAGCAATGCACTGCATACTGATACCTTTACAACTGCAACTATAAAGGTATCATCTGCGCTTTGATTCAGAACCATGGGAATGCATGTTTCAAATGAAAAAGATATTCTGTAGAATCCCCCGCCTGAGCTCAGCTGTGTGCTGATTCCATGCAAATAATTCTAAAAACTACATTTGTAGGGTACCTGAAGGACAAAGCTCCCAATATGGCAAGTGCCTGCTGAGGCAAAATAACAGACTTTTAAAATGTCAGGTTGTCCCCTTGAGGAGACAGTTGAAAGGGGAAAGAAAAGAAAAAAAAAAGAGGAAAAATTGTGGTTTTGTCATTTAATGTCACATGGGCTTGGCACAGCTTCACAAGGTTAACATGCCAGAGAATATCAATCAAGGCAACTTGTGACTTCCTGTCACATCCATATACATCAACCAGTAGCTGTCTGAGAGCTTCACCAGAACTCACTTGCACTATTCCAGAGGCAAATTACCATCTACTGTACATGCTAAGACTGGATACTTCAAACAGTGTAAGAGGCAATGAAGACCAGATCTGTTTTCGCAGAGGGATATCAGGGAAACAGCAAGGGTGCCAGTCGATGTTATTATACAGTGATTATTCTAAGACTCGACAACAACACACTCTGCAAATCTTCACAGTAAGAGAACGAGAGATGGAAATTACTCAATATTCGACACATCCCTGCATCCTCCCCAAGTCTGGTGTTGACTAATTGAATCAGGAATAATATAAACAGAATGATAATCAGGGGAAAAGATGCCCTTCAGATAATTATTGCAAGGAGAGACTGTATTTACCATGCATGCAACAGCTGTATGGGAATAAATTGTTGGTTAGAAAAAGGCAGAAAAGGGGTAGCAAGGGGCTGCAAAGCCACTTTCAGAACAGCATCTTTCTTGTAATTTCTCTACCAAGCACAGTTTTATATCTCTCACTGCTGAGTACAGAAACTGACCTAATATTATTAAAAGCTTTAGTATTTTATGACTAGTTTTGAAGTGTTTGAAAAAAAAAAGAAATTCAATAACTACATGACATCGATTCATTTATCATTTCAGGTGTGGAATTTTTTAATGCAAGTTTAGAATAGAGTAATAAGCCAGTTAGCTTAGCTTAACTCAAGGACTAAAAACAGAAGGAAATATTTAGCCTCGTATGGTTTTAGAGAGGCTATATGACCACCTTGGCGGTAGAGGGCCCTTACAAAAGGCTCCAAAGAGTTTTGTTACCCTTAGACTCAGGCTAGCAGTTACTCTCTGTTTTTTTTTAGTCCTTAATCTCTACCTAGGATGCTGCTAGCTGTTGGGTCTGCTTTCATTGGGAATAACTCAAGTTCTTTTGAACTGAATCAAAATGAATTGGTTTGTGGATATGAAAGTAATGTGCATTAAAATGTCCACAGCTTAAATAAACCTCTGCAACCCTGACTTGATGAGGGGTGCGTCATAACTGCATATTTCCTGTTACCTTGCCAACCTAAGTTGAGTTTGAGATAAATACAATTGAGATGAAATAAAGTCTCATCTTTCTATTATAGATACATGTGCAGGAGGGAGGGGGCTAAAGAGGGCAGAGGAAAAAAATTTTCTTTGCTAATGGATTTTGTAATTGCACAGTTGCCTAGCAATTTTGAAAGGATCCTTGGTGTTGATTTTCTTCAATTTCTAGCCATTGTAAAGCAACAGGCACTTACCCTGCTTTGCTGTGTAAATAATCACTTCTGAACTTGATAAAGAAAATGTATTGGGGTTCCAATTTTAGACCAACATACATTTAAGTATTTGATTTAAAAAGAAAGGTACCAAAATATGATATCTGAAAGTCCAGATATTTTAAAGGTCAATTTGATTTACCTCATTACAACACTGACAATGTAACAGTTTGACTGGCATCATATTACAACTAAACAACATGCGTGCTTCCTAACAGTATGTCATAGTGGATGGAGAGATAAGTAATGTAATTCCATTTCTGCTGGTTCATCACAGCCCAGCTGAAGTGGCACATTCACTTAAATAGTACAACGTAATCATAGAGGGAGAAAAGTACTGCAGGGCTCTATACATCACAAGAGGACACATGAGGTCCAGAGAGATAGACTCACACAGGTCCTGGTAGAAAAATGGAAGATGGATGGAATGGATGGGTATGAGAGTCAGCAGCATGTTTGATAAGGCTACAATTCAGGGGAGTGGACTGATAAAATGTCACAGAAATGGAAATGTCACAATCAAATATCGCCTTGGGAAAGCTGATTGGATGGATTACAACAAGGGATGGGGTACAGCCAATAGATTCAGAGAACCTATTTGCAATTAGCTGAAGATTTACAGCAGGGCTGGTTATATCTACCCCAAGAACAGAACAAACTAGATCTAAAATTGGCTCTCAATTCTGAAGTGCATATTCTTCACCTACTTGACCTACTTCATTTTGCTCAGCTGTGCAAAAAATAAAAATAAAACAATAGACAGTGTGTTGCAATTACATATTTTTTCCAATTAAAGTGAATTCATTCAAGTTTCTCCCCTTCAAACTTTGTTGACAAAAACCTGTCACAGTTGTATTTAGGCTTCAGTTAAGATTACGACAACATTTGGACTGCTCGTTTCATTTCAGTATAGAATCCTGCATACCTTTCTCTTCTTGAAGGCTTGCCGTGCCAGGTAACCTCTACAGGCAGCTTGGAAGAGGGTTAGATTGCACTTGGTCTGCTCATCCCTCTGTTCCTCCAGCTTAGCCAAGGTTCCAGCTCTGAAGAACAGCTATAACAAGAAACAATCATACACAGATGCTTATTAGCAAAGCGTAAAACAGTTCAGACAATTTAATGGTTATTTTAGATATTATGAGATTTAGAGGCCCTGCTTTAATGTCAAGCCCAGCAGCACAATTAAAACAGAGGGGAGTTAAAAGGTAAATTAATGCACTGAAGCAACTAATCAATAAGAAACAGTGTAATCCACAGTCAAGTGAGTCTTATCTAAGTGAGAACCCGGGTGATTAAGTTATCTCGAACAATCAGCCTTGTCCATTTCTAATCTAGGGCAAAGGTAAAAAAAAAAAAAAAGAGGTAAACAGACAAAGGAAAGCACATTATGTCATAGCCTGTTTATACCCAAGAAGGATTTGGTACCATGATACGTTCCAGATATGATGGCAGGAAGCTATTAAAATGGACAGGATGACCACGCGCACACACACACACAAACACACACTTTCTCAAACTAAGGTCGCTCTACAAAGTGTCCATGCTCCTTAAATTCCAAAATCCATATATAATATGTTAACAAAGCAAGAGCTGGGAATCATCAAACTGTTTTAGCAAGCAAATCTATAAAGCAGTAGCAAAGAAAGATACATTCAATGGTATCAATGAATATTAATTAAAACTCTCAAGGCAAAAATTAATCTGTTATTCTTTTATTTTTATTTTCAAAATTGCATGCAGGCATCATGTAGTAGCTTTATGCAGCTATGTTCCTTTCAGGCATGTGGCTATCTCTAATGGCAGATTTTGTCCAGTCAAGAGCTTCTCATTCACTGCTTTTAGTTGGTTTGGTGTAATTGGCATGCAAGTGAGACAGGTTGCCAAGACACCACTGGAATGCTTTGTGAATGGCCAACTGTGCATGTCTACTTCTGAGCCCATTTCACACTCCAAAGTGTGGCACCATGTGAAGCCGCCTCCAAACCATTCTTTTGTCATGTGTTTTATAAAAGGGCCATGCACACCGTACAGTATCTTGGAGCATAAGTCCCCCTCTTTTGTACTTTACTGTTTGATTTCATTTTGACTGATGGCCGCTTTCCAGCTGATAGGATTTAATGTGCATTTTGAAGCAATGTTTACTGTGCAAATCATACTAAGTTTGTGGTGAAAAACAGAATGCATTAAGAGGAGAAATTTGCTCCAATAACCTGAAAAAAACATAGTAAATATGGTAATATATATGGGCAAGGTAGAGACATGTCTCTTGGGTAACCACTGGCTAAATAACTTGAAGAAGGGACAAGGCTTGGCAGGTCTCCAATAAAGGATGGCAAACAAGCCTCAAAGAGGAACAGGTGTACTGAAAGACACACATCCCCAGACAGCAAGTGTCATAAAAAAAAGAGTTGTGTACTACTGCTCTGTGGTGAGAATTTCAAAACAGACGCAGAGCAATTCATAGCAAATGTTTATTCAATACATTTTTAAAGCTGTTCATTTGTTTGTGATGTGTGGGCATTACTCACCCTGCTCAGACCCATGTGGTAACTGCTCTTCTCCAAATCCAAGGACTCCAGAAGCTCCTCTACAGCCTGAGTAAATGCATACATGCACACAAACACACATTCAGCCTTTCAAAAGGTGGATCCAGTGGTGCTACTGACACCACAACAATAGAGCGGTCTACAGTTCCCCCTTATCTGTCATGTTTAATAACTACAGTGCACTTTTTCCCCTCTTCTCTCACTCTGGATTTTGTTTTAAAACCAAGTCGGGATGCAAAAGAAAAAATACAACAAACCAATTACAACTTGCCCCCTAAAATCCACCTGCACCTAGTCTATTCATCATGATCCCCTGTTTTTCTTGACCTAGTTGCAGCTCTGAACACACATATCCCATGTAGAGTTACACCAACCAAAAGACTGGAGCCCCCCCTCTCCCTCTTCAGCCTGTGTATACTGTCCGTCTATTGTTGTCTGGGGCTCTTCTCTCTACTTGAGACTCCACTTTGAAAGACCACATCTAGATTACACCAAGAGAGGTTTGCCACGAATACTGAGGGGCTTTTGTTTGCCAGTGTTTCCACAGAAACTCAGCTCCAACACACTGACACAGGGGAAAGGAGTTATATTCACCCCTACCCACATTCTCTACCTTGCTTTCTTATTTCTCTGCAGAAAGAAACTTCTGTATTTTTCTCTACTACTCTTCAACTCATGTTTCTTTCATAGGTCTTTATAATGAAGCTCAAGCCATCCACATTTTTTATAAATTTAAATTAAAACCAACAAAAGCAGTACTGTCACAGTGTAATAACCATGGCATTTAGAAAAATAGGCATTTTTATTTTTGTTTGCAGTAAAGCACTTTCTAAGCCCTGATATTGATCAGCTTCTTTCACAGGCATTATAGTGATGAAGTTAAGCTGATTAGGTCTTTACTATTAGCCCTGATGAAGCTTTATGTCTCTGTCAGTAGGCTGCTGACATCAGGCTGTTGAGATCAGGTCATGAAGCTGCCTCCTCACATCATCAATCTTCACTGTGCTTGGCTAGCGGCACAGCTGTACATTTTACTCCCTCTCTCAGTGACTGACTTACTCTCTTCTCGTCCTTCACTATATAATTTCTTCCGTGCTTCTTGGTGAGATGCGGTGCCAGCACATCAAAGCGCCGTCGGAACTCAGAGAACACCATGTGATCAGGGTAACCTGTGAAAACCGGTATTGAATAAGATTTAATCTGACAGCCTTTTTTTTTTTTTAATACACATGGACAAGGGGGTATGTTTGCTTTACCTCACCTTGTCTGTAGATTCTTAAAGCATCAAGCAGCTTAGATCCACGTATCTGAGCACGGAGCAAGGCTACATCTAGCTGCATTAAGCTAGGATCTCCACTCTCCCCTTGAGTCTCACATTCCACTCCTTTGAACAGAGATCCACTCAGCGCCTTGAGGGCATCCGCCTTGGGCAATATGCAGTGAACAAACTGAATCCTGGACCTCCGCAACATGTCAAGAAGCGCATCCTGAAAAGGACAGAGCAGGATTATAAGCAGCCTGGTGGGAACAGGTCAAGAGTTAATGCAGCGTCTTCTAATAAAGCACAAGTTAAGGTTTTTAGTTTTTCACTCTCTTGTTGAGAAATATGTTCTTCTTAAAAGTAGTGGTACTGATAACAGCATTAGTAGTAGTAGTAGTAATAGCAGCTGTTTTGAGCTGCTCCCATATTCACAAGGGCTCACCACACCAGGTAGCTCCACATGTTTATTTTTTTTAAATAATAAATAAAACATAAAACACTAGATACTCTTTCTAATGCAACACCAAAGTAATGTCTCTTCAAGGGACTGAAACAGGATTCTTGTTTGGCAAATGTGTAAACCGCTACACTATGCAGCCACTAAAACAAAACTTCTTAATGGCTTAATGTCATTTTCTCTGTTGTCGCTAAACAACCGGCCTCTACTTCATTTATAAGACTTCAGGTAGAGTCAAAAACAAATTTAAAACTTCTCATATTTACAACAGCATGTTTTGTTGTGCCTTGTGGTGCCCCACATCCCCAAGTAGCCATCATACCCTATGCTCTCACCACTTGAAGTTTTATCTGAATGCACAAAGACTTCTTCTTGATGGCAGCTACTCCTGTGACGAAGGATTTCCTCATGCTAGTAGCCCGGCGCAAAGACAGCTGGGAAACACCTTCAAGGCCAGCAACAGACCCGGACAAAACTGTGGTTCCACCTGTGCGGTTCATGAGCAATGAGCCGATGATCTTTCTGTAAGAGATGCCGTAATTCAGAGTGTGATGTTTTATAATTCAAGCCTGCAACACCAAGGAACAACAACTCTTGCATGGTGGATACTTACTTCTGCGAGTCCTGTAGGAGGGACGCAGCATTGGTAGAGGCGGGATTCTGCTTGGCATAGCTGAGCCACCCTCGTGCATCATACTCCACCCAGTCTGTCCCATGGCTGTGGCCCAGCAGGAAATTATGATCTTTTTCACTTTTCAACAGGAAAGTGTGACCTAAAGTAAATGGGGGATCCAGTGTAAAATGTATTAGATACATATACAGCGAGATAATGAGAAAAATCATATTCAAGACTTCAGAAAGGGGTTTACTGTCTGCATGAGTTTAACAAAGCAAGTAAATTCATCACATCCTAATTAGTCTGGTGTGTGCCGCCTGTCACAAACCTGCATAGATTTTACTGATAAAAACATCATGATGAACAGTCTGTTCCTAGTAAACCTTATTGTTTAATGGGCCACTTTATCCGTGTAGTTTTAGTGTGAGACATTTAGATCCAACCATACTCCACTTTCATAGACGATATAACTGTCTGCCACAAGCATGATGTACTAGGTCATCAGAGAGCTGATAGACGAAACAGAGGAGCTCAAATCTGACCTATATGAAGAGTTTTAATGAGAATTCTGAAGCTGAGTGGCTCCATAGTGTAGTGGTTTACACATTCGCCTAGCAAATGAAAGCTCCCTTATTTGATGCTAGGAGGAGACAAATCCCTTTGGGGCTGCGTCAGGAAGGGCAACGGGCGTAAAAAAAAAGAAATAAATAAATCTGCCAAATCGAAGCTGTGGAGCTACCCACTGTGGCGACCCCTTGTGAATAAGGGAGCAGCCAAAAGTAGCTTTAATGAGAATCCACCAGCTGTTGTTTTGGAGTACTAAAATGACAATTTGCGTACCATTTTCTAGCTCTATTAGGGAACTTTTTAAAAGCTTCAGTTCTTATTGTTAGAGAATTGCTAAGAAACATATGAATCGGATATCTGTGACTGCTCTGCAGAACAACAGCAACTGGTCAAATTAAACGAGATATTGTGATTTGGAAATTCCATATTATAGTATAGCTTTAATGAGCTCATTTAAACTGAGACAATACAGCGTACTATAAAACAAAAGGAGAGTTTATATATACCCATACAATATATAATGTTAATGAACGTCTTTGTTTTTATTTTTTTGAATTCTTTTTGAAAATGAAAATACAAGGATTTTCTGTTCATTTCTGAGAAGATCACTATTTGTATTAGTGCGACCTTATGCATGTGTGTGTGTGCATCTTCCCCTTGCCTTTACTCTCGCCCTCAGCAGGTCCATAGTAGCTAAACAGGCGTCCCAACAGTGTTTCCTCTGAACCCCCAGGCTGCAGTGCCTCCTCCTCCATCAACCACAACAGACCCCGGGCCTCATCTGTTCGCACTGTCCGTACCTGCACACACACACACACACACACACACACACACACACACACACACACACACACACACACACTATTCTGTTTTACCTTTATGACCCCCTCTATGCAAAAGATTTTACAAAAGGAATGTCAAACATGAGTAATAAACATCTAGTTCATGTTAGTGTTTAATGGAATATATTGATGAGTCACAATATATTTAAGATATTATTATCCACCTCCTACAAACAATAATGACAAAGCAATAAGTATTAATTATAAAAAATATCCTTCAAATGCCTGGTGCTGGCCTCTGTAGTGAGCGTTTGCTTACATATAAACCATTCTAAATGTCAGCGAAAATACTTTGCCCTTTGTTTTCCCCAGTCTGAGCAGTGTATCACAGACATGGTGATATTGTTAGCAGCGGAAATTTAAGTTTCAATAGCATTTGTGATGTGAGCATACTTTTAGCAGTTTACTGCAATAATACCGTCATAACAGTTTTAACTTATTCCACACAATTAAAATAGGGAAAATGTGGAAAGTATAAAGGGAGAAAAATTTAAATAATGCAATTAGTTACACAATTAGCATGTCATTGTTGAATAAGGGTATGCCAAATATATGTCACCATAATACATAACACACTGAAGCGTTCACTTTTAAGTCAGAGACATTGAGCATAACCATCTTGTTGTTCAAGCTCATGAGAAAGGTAGCTACTGTCTAAATCCACCCTGGGAACTGTGGCTTAAGAAGCAAATCCACAAAACCAAAAAATGCTTTAGCAGCCATCAGAAGTTGCACTGGAGACATCCTTATCAGCAGTGCACACTACGCTGACTACAAATACAAAACAGGTTATCAGTTTGGAGAAGACATGTGACAACTATGAGGCTTGCAATGAATCAAGCATTAAGGCTGTTTGTGATAACAGATGTCTGAGCTACAACAGGAAAAAAAAATATCTGTGAGGGAAAAAAAAAAAAAAAATCTTTGATCAAAATGTCTTTGCACTCTAAACAGCATAGATCTTTATAGCTGACTTTAGAAATGACTTTGAAGAATCTGTGTTATTTTTACCCTTCGGTTTTTAGTGTGATGTACTACAGTTCACTGCTTTTGATGACATTCCCATTAGAGTGGGGACCCTTTAAAAAGTAAAGCACTCAAACCAAACACATTGGAATTACAGCAAAGTGATCTATGGACTCTCTAAACTCGGCCATTTCTGTTTCCATGGTGCAGATCATAGGCTGGAAAGGCCAAACATTGATTTTCTTTCTTGAAGTCAATTCTCTAACCTTTCTTTTCTTGCTCCCACCCTCTCTTTCTAGTCTCTGCCAAACAAGTCTAACATAGAGAGAAGTCTTCTGATGCTTAGAGACATTATTCAATTTTTTTCTTAATTAAAAAAACAATATATTGTACCCAGGGATTAACATTAACATCTGAAAATCAAACATTTTATGGTACTAAAACCAAGGGAAATGAGAAATTATGCAAGTTAGATGTGTGACAATAAAATGAAGAAAGACAATAAAACAAGCGTACCAGTGCTTGACTCGAAGCTTGGTCTACCACTGCCACAGACAGAGACGTGCTGGTTTCTGTGTCGTCTAAGGAAAGTTCTATGTTTTCCTGGAGGACAGCAAAGAGATTGACAAACTAATGACCTATGATGTCAAAAAATAGGATTTTGAATGCTAGGCCATTTGAAACCCACTGTCATAGACCAATAAGTTAGCAAAATATATATTTTTTAGTTTTGAACTATTAACAGGATAAATGAGAAAGTGACAGAGAGCAGAAGATTTTTAGAGAGGCAATGGTACAGTGGTTAGAACTGCTGCCTCACAGCGAGTAAGTTCAAGACCTACCATCCAGCTGGGGGTTTCCTGTGTGGGTTCTCTCTGAATACTCTGGTGTCCTCCCACAGTCCAAAGACATGCATCTTAGGTGCACTGGTGATTGTAAATTGCCCATAGGCCTGGTTCTGAGAATGTCTAATTATCCGTTTCTATGTGTTAGCCATGTCAATGACTAGCAACCTGTCTAGAGTGTACCTTGCTTTTTAGCATATAACAGCTGTCACAGTCTCAAGTCTTTATATTTTACCACAGCTCCAAAATGTAATAGCATTTTATAGGTTAACTACAACTATTTTAACTTGGTTTAAAAAAAAAAAAAGAACAAATACATTGTTATTAAGCCATAAAGATTTGACCATTTTGGTTGCAGCTCCATTAGTCATTTCTAGATTAATGTGGCACATGATAAAAATTATCTGAGATAAAGCTATAGCTATAAAGATTAAGAGATAAAGTAACAGTGCATGGTAACAGAGTGGATCATGCTCCAGAAAGGGGAGAAAATGCTGGCATGCTAATAATGTGGCCACGACAGATGCCAGTGTTCAAGCTGACTGTGTATGTGAAGTCTCCCCACTGATTTTTGTTCTCTGCTGCGGAGAGTCCATGTACAGAGGAACGCAAAAAACAGAAGAAAAAAAAAAATACTAGCCAGAAAGCTAGAGCGCCCAACAGCAATTTATTCAAAAATATAAAGGCATACTGTGTGTGCCGGTTGTGTGTATCACAATTTAACCCGCCTGCCTGTCACTGTGATTGTTAAGACTGTGTGCCGTTTTAAATGAGTTTGACCCAGTTTACAATGACACTTTCACAGGTTCTTATGTTTTCAAGATGTACTGACAAGAGAGAATTACACTACACGCATTTATGCAATATTTCATCTCATTCCAACTCCATTTCTGCCATGCAAAGGATGTGGGTGGGAAATCCCAGGATCCTTTTTCAGAAGCAATGTATCTGAAGCAATATAATCAGGATGTCTGGGTAACTCCAGTGTGATATCAGGTGAGTTTTTAATAAAAACATTGTTGCAATAAATTGAGACATAACTGTAAGTAATGAAAGAAAACTTTCTATTTGTCCTCAAAAACACTAAATCCTATGGGATGACTACACCCATAGTTATGATGGTCCAGTCCTGCTAGACAGAACGTTAAAGAGGACAGAAGTAGAATAGATCTTTAGGGAACAACAGCACTGCTGTGCAGCTGGGCGTTTCTCCCACAGGCAGCTGTGAGTGACTTTACTTTGATCTTGGCAGAAGCGGTGAAGACTGGCATCACTAATGAGAAGGTCTAACACATGAACTACTTTGACTTGTCACAGCTTGTGACAGGTAGAACAGATAGTGTATCTGATGTGTGTACACATACTCTATTGGAGTTGATATATCTGAGAGAAAGGACCAGACAAGGGGAGAGAAAGGGTAGGAGGAAGGCAGAAACAATGAGAATGAGGCTGTTTGTATGCACGGTGCATAATACTTTACATGGCATTACCTCTTTGTATCGCTCCAGCTCCTGAACAAAAGTACGCTGGTAGAAGAGGGTCTGCAGACGCTCTTGAGTGTAGTTGTGGCACAGGTCTTCAAAGGTTGCACCACATTCACGCTTAGCCAGCCTTGGGTTTTGAAAGCCTGGTGTGTCCACAATGATCAGAGAACACAGGGAGTGCTGGCTGGATTTCAGAGCCCTTAAGCAAACATGGTAAATACATACACACACATAACATTAGCAGTGCCATATTTGACAACCTCTTGATATAACCTCATCTCATGCCACTATATCCCTAACTGAAATAAAACTGGCTCTAATACTCTGAAACCATTCAAACATTCTTGTTTAAACACAAATGATGGTTACTAAAAGTGACATGAGGCATCTACATTTTTCTGTTGCATACCGGTTCAGCACAATCATGACATCTTCATTACAAATGTAATGTACTGTCAGTAACACACCAGAGAAGAAATACTAACCGGTTTATTAGAGAAATGACGGTAGTGAAGAGTTCAGAGTAAAGCCCGGATGCCATGGCTTCTAAACACTCCATTGCTGTTGCTTTGAATGCTGATATAAAAAGGCACAGAGTCAGAACAAATCCTCAATAGCTAATTCACAATATCTCCATCAGCAAATAACACAAGAACCAGTTGAATAGGAAGGAGGAATGTCAACATGTTGAACTGTAAAAGCTTTACTGAAACTATAGTCAAAGCATTTGATTTAAAAAGGAACTACATTTCCATGGTATTCAAACACATTATTTTCTGAGTTAGAAGGTATTGAAAATACCTACAAAAGTGTCTTTCTGAAGCAGTGTCATTTAGGGATCAGGTGTTTTGGAAACGGTCAAATCAAACTGAATACTCATGTCTGTGCCTAGAGGCAATGGCCACCTGTTAAGCTTTCATAATTCATTATACCATCACATAAGTGAGTTTATTGTTGCATAGGCGATATATTCATGTGTGCACACACGTCAATGACTATATGCTCATGAATGAGGGGAGATGCAGGGAAGGAGAAACAAAGGTCATTTCTGTCCATCCCTACTGTGAAAGACCTTTAACTGAGTCGTCATGCCCTTCAGAATGTACTGCAGTCTTGATGAACCAACACGTGTGAAAAATCAATGTGAGGCAATTATGATTTCAGGGACAATGAATGAAGAGTGGATCCAAAATTGCTTGTCCCAACATAGTATGCGCACCTATCTGTCAATAGCCATTGTAAAGCTGTGGTATTCATTACCAAGATAAGCTTTACTTTTTCTCTCCCTTGCATTTTCCCTTTGAGTGATGAGCAGCAACATATGCGTGTGCAAGTGTAAATAGAATGAGAGTGACAAAAAAGAAAAGGTAGGGAGAAAGGGGGGTACTGTGAGGAATAAAGAGTAAAGAATATGGTGGTAAATGTGGCGTGGAGTACCTGCATCTGCCGTGCCATTTTCGTCAGAAGCCTGGCGAATAGTGCTGGCTCTGGGCAGGGTGCCCTTGGCCTGGTGCTTGAAGATGGAAGAGGAGAGCTCCTCCAGGGTGCAGCCCAGCAGGTAGGCTGCCTTCTGAGCCCACTCATGACGTGCAAATTGTTTCCTGCCAGCTGAGACACGTGCATGAAAACCTCCATTAGCCCTTCTGCCAACTATTGCAGGCACATGGTGACTTTGTGACAATACTGTCTGTGACAGGGTAGGATTATGTGTCTGGTCGAACTGACACTGACACAGCTGATAAAAACATGCACTAAAAGCATGTTCAAAAGGGTGGTAGTCTGAATACATTTAACTACTGTGGAGATGGAGACACACACACACACACACACACACACACACACACACACGCATCTATAAAGTAAAAACCTTATTTCAATTGTTTAATACTGAAAAAATGTCTATTAAATTGAAATTATAATTGCCCCTTTTATCTTATTGAGAATGAAAGCGAAATTTATCATTAGGGGACATAATTTATTTATTTACATAAAGACTGCTGTTGGGAAAACTAACTTTCCCTCAATCTAGTGGCTGAGTGATGCTAACATAAAGATATGAGTGCCAACTTCAGTTTTAATCCACCATGAAGTGGTATCTTCTAAGACTTAAGAGAGAAACTGTGGGATTTCAGACAAAGTAGTGGGCTCTATCTGTCTCATCAGTACTGCAGAAGCCTTGCATACTTCTCTTATTGATAAGGCTAGTTATGAAGACAAGCAAAGGCATTTAAATATTTACTTTGATAGATACCAGGCAGCACAATTACTTAAATTCCACTAAAACATCAAAAAGAGCAAAGTGGGTTTACCAACATGAATGAACATTGCAGAATCAAACAGCAGATGGCTGTACGGCTTTTAAAGATAATAAAAGAAAATTACATATGTACAATATTTCTTCTTAAGTACACAGAAAGAGTATGCTAAGTCTCCTATCTATACTTATTCGATGTAAGTGTTCACTACACAATATACAGAGAAAACTAAGTTCATTTCAGGTGGTCCCTTAACTAGGTTTTGGAGATCACTGCTGCCCTCTTGTGTACCAGGATAAAGTTACACTGCCAATGGATTTATTTCATAATCTGTTTATTACTCCTTTTGATAACCAAAATGCAAACTAGGCCCTTGATACAAAAGGGTCTAGACTGTAGACTATTATCATTAATAAATATTCCCATAGACAGGCCTCTCAATGACTTCCTATTCCTACCCCTGACATTGCTTCTTCATAAGAATTCATTTTGAAAACGAAGACACCAATCAAATGTATTGCCAAGCAGAAAGTTGTTCAGGATTTTTATTCCCAATAACAGACAGTATTTATTGATTTTTTTTAACTATTCCCTGCTTTATTCTGCCATCAGAAATATTGGGAGCCAGCTGGAGGGGATCACTGCAAATTATTTGGCAAGCTATTCTCATAAGTAACTGGCAATTACAGACAGGCACTGAAGAGTGAGCAAACGTATCAAAAAGCACAAAATTCAGCACTATTGCCACTGTTATCACACATTTTTTGTGGTTTCTCTGTTGTATATTATCCTGCTATTCGGTAATTAATTTATTTGCACTACAACAGCAATTAAATCCTTAAATGGACAGTTTTTCATTTGCTCATCTGTGTAAATATGCCCACTTAACCTCAGTTAAAATTAAAACAAAACAAATTTCATCAACCAAAAAGTCAATGCTAAATATAAATAAACACTTAAATCTGTGTTTTGAAAGGACTTAAATGGTTAATTCTATCCTTTCTATCCTTCCAGTGGCCTTTTATAATGACAAAAAAAGGATGTGATGATTAACTCACCTAAAATAAAAATCTTTGTGGCAGCTACAGCTTTTACAAATGTCAGCTATCTAATTTTAAAAAGTTAGTCAAATCCTGACAAAAGGGCCGTTCTATTACTCTAAAGGAAAACAATCTGTTACATTAGGTTTCATCATTCGAACAGCTTTAGACAGAAGCAAGTTCTTGTGTTCGTGAGAACTGCTGTTCCCATTAGTCCTGTAATGCATCTTTATGACAAAATAAATGTTTGTCAAGAATTAGATCAAGGTTTTTCTCTCCGTGAGCAGCAACGGTGTTTCCAAGCAATTAGATTCAAGAAGTTTGTCATTAGTTTCAGTTACTCAACCACAAACGGTGCTCTGTTTATTTAATATGTTCATGCAGTAAGGAATAATAAAGGTAAATCCGACAGGGGTTCAGATTAAATAAAAAATACAATGTATTACTTCACTGGCAGCCACATACTATAAAGGCAGCAATAATTCTGTACCACAAAGTCTTGAATGATTCCAGCCCACCACCACCACCCACCCCCCACTCTACGCAAATGTGCTAAGATCTAAAGTATACGGTAACCTTTTCTGCAATGGCCTAGATTTAAATGTTCAGCTATTGATCATTGGAGCAGCTGTGCACTGTGTACTTTTAACATATAAATAAATGTATTATTCAGCCATTGTGATTACATGTGATTGCATCACACAGCACATGTTGCCAACAGTGAGATAATGCCAGCTTGATATCTGTCAAATTACAAAGTGTTACAAAAACTATTTGGGCTAACAAAGGTAATTTCACCATAATTATTTTTCATTGTGTGCACAAATCAAAAACAGCATTTTGCTTTGTCACTGGAGCCTGTTCTATAACAGCAGAACAAACGTCATCTCCAATAGATGATGCAGTTGTGCATTCAAGCAATCTTACCCTTGGTGGTTCCCGCAGCCCCAAGGTGGTAAATGGCCCCAAGGATGAGCCAGAGGGCCCTCTGCTCATCACCGCTGATCCCCAGAACCTTCATGGCTGCTTGCAGTTTGAAAAACTGCTGAGAGGCCCGCTGTTTATCCTCTGCCTGGCAGATTCACACAAACATAACTTGAGCTTCTTTTTTGGGTGGGTAAATCTTTAAGTAAACTTTTTCCCCTTCCATTCCTGGTTGGACAAAACAAGCCAAACTTCTAGTATCAGGATGCATTTACCTTAGTCTGTGGCATGATTCCAAAGGCACTGCTTTCAGCAAAGTGGTTAAGGTGCAGCTCAGTTCTAATGAAGAAATTTAAAAAATAAATAACTTACAAGACATTAGTGAACACATTTAGGATCAAAGGGAAAATAGGAAGAAAAGGCAGCATTATAGAGAACTACAATATATCTATGTAAAAACCAATGCAGTACTGTAGTGGATTTAGATAGTAATTGACATGAGTGTATTAATCCCTACCTCAGAGAGCTATCTACTCCAGCCATTAGATAGTAAAAAACATTAAAAGTGGACTCTCCATCTGGTCTTCTTGTCACTCTCATCTTCTCCAAAAGCATTGTCTGAAAGACCAGGGCAGAACACAATATTGAAAGGATGGCAGAAATACAACATTATGAGCAGGTGAGCATAATAGCAAAGACTGAGTTTGGTGAAAATATACACCACTTTATGTCTGGAATGAAAATCAGTTATTCATTAGGAATAAATTCAACAGTTGAGTCCAAGTGAGTTAATTAATAAATGTGCTTATCTGTACCTGGATAGAGGCTGAGGTCACCAGGCCCGCCTGGTCAAAGTCCAAGGAAACAATGTGGGTGAAGCGACTAGCATTGCCATTCATGCACGTAGAAGCATTCCCAAAAGCCTCCAAAACAGTGTAGACTGCTTGCCATTTTTCCGCTACAATAAAGATCATACGCTGTTATTGGGGAGGGGGACTCAACAACATCAATCATAATATTAGCTAAATTTTATTTATTTATTTATTTTTTTTAATTCAGAGGACATCCTTTCCAACCTACTGGAGAATGTTCTGTTGGTGCTTCCTGCGACTGTAACCAGATACTGGATGATGTGTTGACAGTTAGTGGTCTTGCCACTTCCACTCTTGCCCAGCAATACAATGGACTGATCCTGGCGAGTAGTCAGCAGGTTCCTGTAGGCAGCCTGTGCTAATCCATAAATGTGAGGAGCAGTGTCATCTCTTCTGCAGCCCTTGAACATTTGCATCACCTGGAAAGAAGAGCAAAATTATAGTGTTTTTACATGGATTACTACCATTGGAAATGCATTTTCTCCTCACTACACTCTCATTTATACTCTCCCACAAGAGATGTGTCACATGTACTGGCTAGAGCCTACCTTCTCCGAATACATTGAAGGGGCACTAATGGGGTTAATGACCACCATGTTGGGCCCAGCGTGGGTGTGCACCAGGTTGCTGCCATACCGCTGCCGCAGAGAGTGCATCACACTCGACTCGTTCAGATACTGCAGAGAGGCCAAGTCCTCCACTCGGTCAAACGCTGGAGGGTTTGCCTAGAGTTCAAAGTCAGAAGAGCTCACAAGTGTCATCTGTAATTAATGAGGTTCACAAATGATGAGATGATTAAATACCTTCTCTACATCGTCTTCATCCACATCCAATAAAGATCCATCACTCTCCAGGCGGATTTTCACCTTCCCCTCTGGCAGACTGCCTGTCTCCATCTTCAGGAGAGTTGCTGCACCACCACAAAGTGTGGAGTTAACTACTTATGACACATCATTTCAACCTGAGTGCAAAAGTTTCATTTCATTTTGCATAATACTATGTGGCAACTGTATCTCTTTCAATAGTGTCAGAGATTTAATAAAATGTAAGTAAGTTTTGAAATGTAAGTTTTGAAAACATGGTTGGTTTAATCACATGCAGCCTGAGGTAAAATGAGCAGCCTGATAACATCAAAATTTCAAAAGCATTTCCAATGCTTCACACACCCACTTTTACAGTTATGTAATAAAAGGTCAACCAGAAACAGACCATACCAGGAAAAGCAGAAAAAAAGTACGTTTGTTTTAATATAGTTATAAATAAAGGGTAAAAAACCCACAATAAACTCCATCTAACTGCACTATAATGCATAATTTATTTAAATACAGACATTTTACTAACCCAAGGAAAATCCATCCTTGTGGACAAGCCATACTTTCTCAGTGTTATACCAGGTTTTCTCTGCTGTCAGCTGCTCCTCAGTCTTTACCTGTTAGAGGTGAAAATCAGTATATGAAAACCTGTATAACCAATTTCTATTGGATCACTGATTAATAAATCATACAGCTGCATAATGGACTTTCAAAAGGATTTCAGTTCACTGAGTGGAGGGCTATATGGATTTGAGAAAAGTATGTTTTCATTTCACACCTCCTATATTTATGTCATTTACAAAAGCAGCCCTCCACAGAAGAACTAGACTTCCCATGACTCTCCTTTTATGAACCTTTCAGAGCTCACACAGTGATTAACTCAGAGGTGCAGTTAATATGTTCACTATAAAGACATTTAAGGTGGAAGGTTAAAATGCAGGAGGGATTTATCACAGCCAAGTCCAAACCAATCACATATGGGAAAAAAATGCACGACCTGCTTGAACTGAACAGAGACACACATACAGCATAAAGCCAAACAAGTTAAATCAAGTCAAGTGTTTGGAGGTAATAAAATAGGTACAAACAGTGAATATGCATCAAATAGTAGTTTCTTCCTTGAAATGCAACTAATTTTATTAACTAATGAGTACTGACTGAGTAGGGTACTTCTATTCCTTTACTCAGATTTAACTACATTGAGTAAGTCTATAGGGAAGGTTAATTTGAGCTTTATGGGTGCTGAATGTCATTCACTAGGCTTTCTGTGACACTCACGACTAGTTTGTCCCACACAAATAACACAAAAAAGGACATTCCACTTGAAACACTTCGGGATGCAACCAGAATTACAACCAGCTGTAGCCATTATCAGACCTTAGTTGCAGCTGAGTGTGCTGCCTGAAGGATGGCCACGGGATCCTCAACAAGTTTGGACTGGACAAGGGAAGAAATCAGTAAGTTATTTCAACACCTATAGAGATTCAACTGACACAACCGCATGAAGAAACAATAAAAATGCAGAGTTGTGGAGAAAAGTAAAACAATAGGTCAGAATGTGTAAAAAGTATAACACGAACACTGCAGCAAGGCCAACAACAGTGCAACACCACCCAAATAAGTGATTCACCAACACATTTACCATAAAGTCCTTAATAATGATTGTATTACTATAAGAAATACTGTAACAAAAATAATGCACTGATTAGCAGGATGCATTTAACCACACGTGTGGGTTTGTGGAGAGAGCATAAAACTCATGCCCTCTTATTAACAGTCACAGTTATGCACAGTAAGGTATGTATATCAGAAATGTTAATGTTAGTAATTTAGCTTTCCATGTCACTGACATGCACCTAATAAGAAGTGTTAAAAGCTGTTAACTGAAGAATTATGACAATATAGCTTCAGTATGTACATGTATTTGTATAGTGCAAAAGCAACAACACCATTACAGAGCAGCATGACACACCGAGTCCACTGTAAATGAAATGGAGCAGTGGTAAAAATAAATCTTGAGATCTTGAGAAGTTTTTATGCCGCAGTAGTACACTCCAGGCCTCTGCATCAATGATTTTAAAGACAAGTGGGCAGGCACAAAAAAATTTAGTTTGTGTGTGTGTGTGTGTGTGTGTGTGTGTGTGT